GCATGCCTCAGGTTTTAACATGCTCTTACTTAACCGGCCTGATTTCACTGTGGCTGTGGGCGATGAGAAGTCTGGCTGTACGTGCAGCAAAGCTCCATGGGGTGTGGGTCAGCGCTGCTCCTGATGGCAGAACAGCAGACTGTGCCCTGCTTGCAGGCGTTCTGCAGCACCATGCCGTAAAGAAAATGCTCTTCCCCTTGCTCACAAGTTCCAATGCTTTTCAGCAGATGGAGGTGGATGTAGTTTGAAAACTCCCAACTCTCACTGTTGCAGCAGCGAAAAAACAGCAGAGCCAGAAATTACTAAACACAGCAGCAGGCAGCAATATTTCCTGGTCTAGGCTGGTGAGCAAACACCAAGCAATGCCCACACATTTTAGGCAGAATGAGGAAGAGCCCCTCTAATTGGGCATGACCTCTTCGTTCACAGGGGGACTTTGCTCGGAGATCTTTAACACAGATCTCACCCATAAGGGCCATTTGTAAATTGTCTATTGCAAAGGTTTTTTTCTAGTGAGAAATGCTCAAGGGCATTCAGAGCTTCAGAACAAGGCAAGCAAGGCCCGCTGACATGGCACCAAGTGTTACAAGACGAAGGCAAAACCAGGAATGGAAGCCTGGCTATTTGTGCAGAGGACATGCACAGGGAGAATGTGATCTGTTATAATCACACCCCTACAGAGAAGGACTCAACAAATGCTCTCAACAAATCCTTGAAATCATAACCTGCCTGTGGACCACCAGCGTTAACACACGCAGCCATAGAGTGCACTGCACACCAAAGGGCAAAAATGCAGCAAAGCGAAGCTGAGAGAACAGCAAAAATAAAACCAGATGTGCAGATTTAAACTGTTAGCAGGATTCTGCAGAATGAACCACCACCATGGGCTGGCAGACAGCGTTTCTCTACACAAGGGTCCATGAAGGGACTTAACTAGGAACAGGCAGAGAAGCAGGCATGGAAGTACCAGAGGATGACAGACCTGGGCAGTATTATCAGTGCGGAAATCCCTGGCAACTCACCTGCGTGAGGGGAGATCACACACACACACACACACGCACACACGTCTGCATTTCTTGGGCTCCACCTGAAGGACTGTAAGTAACATGTTCAACAAAGTTCTCCACTGCCGTGGAGTACAGCCCTTGTTTTAGACATCCAGATCAGGGGTAGCAAGAAACCTTTCAATCCACAGTCCCACCCAAGGAAAGTGGCAGCTGGAATGAGCAGCAGTTTGGGGCAAGGAGAAAAGGAAAAAACAACTGTCATTCCTTTTTTTTTTTTTAATTAGCAAATGGACAGTATCTGGACATGTAAAGGAAATCAGCCCTTTCCAACATTAGAGTTAATGTTGTCAATTACTTGCACTGCTCCCACACTTCAGTCTTTGTCTTTCATACAGCCAGAACCTTTGGGTAAACAAAGAGCATAGGAACACAAAAAAACACAATATATACAGGTTTCCCCACCAACTAAATGGACTTAGATTTTTGGAGATTAGCGACACTTTGTTCATTTGACTTCGCAAGTAATATCAAAACATCTCAAGTTTTAAAATAAAAAATACGACAATATTCACAATATAAAACTTAAATACATTTGTTTAAAAATTAAAGGACTGCTAATAGTTATTGATTTATCACAGCTGTCTCTTTCAACAGAAGCTCTGTTGAGGAAGCACTGAGAATTTAAGGTTCACAAAGCAACATTCACATTCTGCACTGCTCCTGGTAGAGTTTGGACACTGCCACGTTCATGAGACAGCGCCACTGGAGACTCGTCCAGGAGTTAAACTCAAATCCGTCCCACTGACAGGGTACGGCAAAGTCACAGAACAAGGCCAACGTCTGGGTGCAGCAGGGCTGCCTGCTTCCCGAGAGCAGAACTGCTGGCCCACCACCACCACTGCGTGCCCCTCTCATCATCTCGTCGTCTGCACTCCCAGCTTGAGCCCTTCGGCTCATGGCTGGGTGCAGAGAGGGGAAATGATGAAGAGGTGTGCAACACTTCCTCTCCTCTGCTATTCCATCCCTGCCAACGTACTCCTGTGTTTTAGTAAATAGTCACTGAATAAAGTGACTGGAGAGAAGAAGCTCATGGGTCAGTCTCCTCTCTGGTGTAACCCTGCAGAGTGCAACGGAACTGCACCACTGGGGACTCTGCCCCACGGTGCTGAGTGTGCAAGCTTTACACAAACAGGGCAGACAAGGGAGCAAGGACCTACAAAGGAGAAATTCAACCCACCCTTACGCCATCTCATCCACAACAAAAGAGACGATTAAGTGTGCTTGAAAGGCAAGAGAATCAAATTTTGCCTAGGAAATCTGGATACCATGATGGAATCCAGGTTTGGTTATTTAATTTTCACTTCACCATTCAAAGGGAGCAGAAACTAAAACAAACAACAGCTACAGTATTTATCTCTTTGGTAACTTCTGTAAGAGAGTCTTGAAGCAATGGGTACAGCTTACAGTAATCATCATAAAAGCTCAGTAAGATTCCACAGAAGTGAAAAAACTGGGGCATGAACTGGGAAAACAGCTTGCCCTAATGTAAATGGGGCCTGTGGGAGGGTGAGAAAGACTGCAGAGGAACTGGGGCCCTCAGATTCCTGCTCTAGCCATGCAACAGTGCCTCAGCAAAAGCGGATCCCAGACACACAAAGCTGAATCAATAACCTCTTATTACAGACAAAAGGTCTGGAGTGCATTTTAGGGTATTTTGTTAAGGCAAAAATGGGTGAATACTAGCTGAGGCAGGCCTGGCAAACAGTCCAAAAGTGGATCAAGTAGCTGTAGTACACTTTCACAGTCAAGTGGCTCCATGGGTCAGTTTAAAGAGGATATAGGTCCCATCACTTCTGGTCACACACTACTTTTAAAGCCAGCTCAGATAAACCGCAGCCTTTCTATGACAGAAAACTACCAGTTGTGTAAAATGCCTTTGCTTTTGTTTAGTTCCTTAGAAATCAAGTTTCACATTCAAAGTTAGTTTCTATAACGAGCTCTCCCTCCTATTGCAAAGTCTCAGCTGAGACCATAGCAGGGGCTGAAGAGAGAGCAGAGAACCCACCTGCTCCTTCCAGCTGAAGACACCATTTCCTCAGAACAGGCTGCAGACAGTCTTGAGGCAGAACAGCAAGACTAGCATCGCCACACTTTGTGTTTTACCTGTTCTTTGTCTTGAGTAACAGCGTCACCTGGTGAGCCAGTCAGCACATAGACCAGCAAAACAATGAACAGGAAGTCCTGTGTATCTCTGAAACTTTCAACAATGTGGTAAAACAAGAGCACTGAACATGAGGTTTGTCCAGAGTGAGCTAATGCTGCCATGAGGCACTGTTTCAGGGCTGAAATCTCAAGTACCTGCCTGAAAACCTAACTACGCAGAGGCAGAGAACCGCACTTCAAAAAGTGTCCGCTACCAAGTCACCCACCTACAGCTGTCACTAAAGCAGCTTGCATGGAGCATATTAGAAATGTGCATCTTCCTTAAAATTCCGGATGACAACCAACTAGCTGCACACAGTCTCCCCAGGTGAAAGACTGTTCATAGATGCTAACTGAAGGCTGTGGTAATCTTGAAGTCCACAAAAGGATTACGCAACTGAAGCCTGCAAAGGAATGGGAAAATAAGCTTTCTTCCAAACCAGTGATGGCATCCACCATAAATAAAGAGTTTTTGGAAGTGGCTCTCAAAAAACTGTCAGGTAACAGATCCAGCTCCAGAAAGTAAAAAGGCAGGAATTAATGAATCAGTAAGAAACAACCTGAAAGCAACCTCTCCTGCCTTCGTTTTGTGTAGTGCAGACCATAGGCAGGTTTATGAGACTCTTCTGCCATTATACTGCTTGCTGCTCTGTAAAGGGTTAAAGGGATCTTACTCGGTGACTGCATCCTTTCAGCTGAGATAAATGGACTCCCAGGCTAAAGGACCACTGGGAAATACATATGCCATGCTGTGACAACAACATGCCTCCAACAAAGAGGACGGCTTAAGGTCAGCTTTCACTTCCTCAGCCTTCTGCTTCTCTTGCTTTCTCATCACCGCTGCTAAAATTGGTTCAAGGGCACTTGAGAGTTTCAGTAGAAAAGATTTTTCTCCTTGTGTCAAAACCCAAAAGGTTTAATATTTACTATGACCATGCAAAAGTAGAATCTGAATATGATCTGGAAGTTAGTGTTATCTGAGTACCATTCACTATTGGAGAGCTGAGAAAACAAAACAGTCCAGATTTCCTGCTTAAGGGCACATCTCCACTTTGCCAGCAGCTGCAACAAAGAGCATATAGTTTATCATGCTTGAATGCTGCACAAATACCCATTGGGTAACATACTTTTTGGTTGTAGAAAGAAAGATTTGAGAATAGTTTCCTGGCTCCACCAAGAACCACTACTCCCTGTTCTACCTTTAGGAACAAAGAGGGAAGCTGAAGTTTTACCTAGACAACACATATTAACATGTTAAAGTCTGACCTAACAACTAAATTCTCTTCGAAACCTCATTCCAATTCAACGCAGCATGACTGAGATTTCATTAATTTGGGATTGTCTTCCTGAATTGACATGAGAAAAAGCTGCCCCTAAATATTTTTTCAAGTGATCATCTCCATCCCCACCTGAGGGGCCTGGGGACAAGAGACCAAAATCAGTCTGATCATAATAATACTCAATAATAATAATACTCCTCTTCCGAGTGCTTTGCAAAGAAAAAGCCTCACCACATCCCTGTGAGGTAGGTCAATAAGTATTATTACATGGAAACTGAGGCAGAGAACTTACTTTCCTGAAGGCCACTGCAGGAATCTGTCTCAGAGATGGAACCAGGAGACAAATTTCCTTTGCTCTCAGAGAATTTCCCTTTCTCGCCCTTATCTCCCCTTTTCCCCATACAAGTCTTAATGGAGAAATGAACAATGGAGAAAGGGGCTACAGTGCCACGTTTCTGACAAATAGCAGGACTCCTAGAACTACTCCACATACTCCAAAAAGGATTATTAAATATACAAGTACCTTAGTATTAATGGCTAATGACTGCACACATTATAAAGAAGCCAACATACAATACAAACCTAGCTTAATAAATAAGTAAAGACATGCAGCTGCAGTTGTGACTGGGTGCTGAGGGGTCCTCAGCTCAGTAAGGTCCCAGATGCCTATGGATAAGCCCATGTCATTCCTGTGACTCTACTGCCACGCCGACGAGTGCGTGTCTGATAGTGCGGCCGTGGAGTTTGTAGCCATCCTGAGTCACCAGTGCTATCGTGCCCGGCTGCATCCCCTCGGCTGGTACATGGCAGACTATTTCATGGTCATACGGATCATATCTGCCACCAACAGGGTTCATCTTCTGAAGGCCATGTTTGGCAAATACACCTTGCAATTTGGCCTCTATGAGAGAGATGCCTTCATAGATTTTCTTCAGGGTTGGATTTGGATTACTAGGCTCTGCTTCTTCTGCAGCACTCTCAGCAGTCTTCTCCAAGATATCTGCTACTTCCACGAGGTCCTTGCAGAAACTCTGGATCCCTACAGGCATAAAGAAGCAAGAAGTAAATGAAGGGCAGTTTACAGAAGATATAGAGCTACAGTACCAGTGACAGGCACAAAATCACAGCAGTTTGAAAGCACCTTTAAAGCCACTAATTGATTTGAATCATTACTTTAGTGAGAGCAGAAAGTGTCTTCTGTATCCTGTCGCCAAAGCTTTATAAGTACATGGGTATTAATCGAAAGACCCCTCAGATCAAGGTATATGCAGGAATATGCTATACACATCAACATATATTTTTATATATAGTATATCTGACAAAGCAGAGCATTAGTATTTCACTCCAAAAAGTTCTTGCAATGAAGACGTGTCATTTAGGACACTGTTCCACACCCTCTCATGAAGTCCCACAGACATAAATGTTTTGCCAAGCAACTCACACAAATGCCCATGCACACTGGGAGCAAATACAATGGGGGGAAGTAAAAATAATAAATGACCATTCAAAAGTGCATCTACGATTTTATTCATAAGTTAAAACTACTCTGAAAAGACTGGACAAAATGCTTCTTGGGTCAGTCATGAAAAAGCCACACAGTCTTTTTCATTAGAAAAATGGGTTTATATCATACGCATTTCCAGAAGTCGTGTATTACACTGTGCCGAAATTTCAGGAAAATCAGGCTCCCTCAGTTACATAGATGCCATAACTAACTTACTGAAAAGACATTAGGAAAACAGAGAAACAGAAACAATACTTTGGCGCTGACTGTACCTGTACATATGTGTTTAAACACACAAAGAACAAAGCAGCATTAAGGAGAAGCAACAAAGTAGCAGACAGAAGCAGAATGATTGCCAACCACTTTCTCTTGCACCAGAGTCTGTGTTAATACTCTGCAGACCCCTGTGCCACACTCCATGAGCAGCTTCTAGTAAAGAACTTAATTTTTCTTCAAATCTGAAGCATAGTGCATCTGAAATTCAAAGAACTAGAAAAAAACAACCTCAAAACCAATGGTGCTGATTATCCCAAAACTCAACAGATGTCTTATAGCACAATTGGTAAGAAAAATACAGCAGCTCTAATTTCAAAGCTACTGGAATTAACTAACAAAAAGCCTCCCGAAATTCAAGCTTTATGGAGAGTAACAGTTTCTTATTCCCAGAGACAGTGCTAGCAAAGTGCAACAATTAACCAGCAGATTCTTCCCCCTTCACCTGCCTCCGTTGCCACAGCAATAAATCCAGCTCACTTAATTGATGCTAAAATATTTATTATAGAGGTTTTAAAGAACATCTGATATAGGAACTGTCAATCTTTGTCTCAGGCAGGATCTACCTCCTGAAAGCTAGAGCTGTTAATACAGTAAAGCTGATGACACAGCTACGAGTATGAAATATACCCTGCCAGAACCAATTCTCAGGATACAGAAAAACCTGTAATTTCAACCAGCTCAACAGAAATACACTCAATTGCATCAGGCCTGTTTTATTAAAAAAAGATCACAAAACAGTCATTGAGATAAACCTGATAGGGCACAGCTGAACATACAGAAAAAATAGCAAGTACGCCCAGACCAAACTTCATGCCAGACTTTACAATGAACAAGGGCAGGCCAAGGGGAGAGAAAAGCTGTTGATCAGTATTTTATATTCAGGTAGGCAGGCAGCAAACACAGCTTTGCCTCACTTTGCTTACCAAAGAGCTTGGCATCTTCCACAAACTTCTGCGTTCTCCTCCGGACATTCTCAGAATCTGCCAAAGCTCTCCTGTATCGCTCCTGTAATCACAATAGCAAGGGGAGACATCAAACAGGGAGGTAAAGCCCATTTCCTGACAGGTTGGCAATCCTTTAGAAATTATTTAAAGGGAGCCCATTTCATGCCACAAAGTCATGCTGGGCTCCTGTGTTTTCATTACATGCAAACCCAAGTCCCTCTCCTACTGATTAACCAGCACCACTTCAACTCCCTGGAAAGACCCAAGTGGAGGGAGAATCATTCAGGGTGCAGCTCAATTGAACACCCATTATCAGGCTGCTGCTTTGTGCACGACTCACTGTGGCTATCGAGACACAACTTCCTCCAGCACGCAAGCTGGCAGCCTCAGCAACAGATCTGCAACCGCTGCACTTATCTGCACTTATCGCTCGGAGCAGTAGTACTCTCAGGACAATTATACCCAGAATTGCCTGCCCAGTGCTGCAGTATTTAATCCTCTCTTTAGTCACATCTGTTCTTCAAAGTGCCTATAACATGATCCCTACCATTTTCTACCTACAGTAAAAGCCAGGGCTGAAAGACAGACCAAGTCAAGGAGACCGAAGGAATCATCGTGATACCACCAACAGTTAAATTCCAGACTCACAGTTAAATCCCGGACTTGTTCTTCCAATTTGATAGCTTTGTGCTCTAAGGCACAGTCAGAGAGGGTATGCTTGGGCTCATCACGGGGATCTTCTGGGCCACACTCGTCTCCAGTACTTCTCTGCTGAGCTGCGGTGCTGAAAACACATGGGGACCCTCTGGAATACAAACTAGTGACAAAGAAGGAAAGTTAAGCAGTAACAGAGTCAAAAAGAATTCTGGTTTTGTGTCATTACTAAAAGCAGGCTCACTTAAAAATGTACATAGGATTCTAGATAAAATTTCAGCCCTTTTCAGAAAATATGGAGAACTAGGAGAGAAACAGAGACGGATGTTATGAAAAATTATTTTATTTTAGACTCACATGTCACTACAGAGGCTGTACACTACTTCTTCAACATACCTTGAAAAGAGTCATGTTTTCACAGCAGAACAAGCTGTGGGTTCCATTTTTGCTGACCTCCCAGTACAGGTGGTCAATACCAGACAACAAACTTCAGAAACATTTCTGCAAGGTAGTCTTGAAAAGGAGACAAGTGGTATAAAGCTGTTTTTACAGTTATTAAAAAAAAAACCAACCACAAATCTTCTGAGCAAAATTCAGTAAGATCAGCAAACCCATGGCACTTAAGATAGGCAGGCAGAGCCTGTCCTGCTACCTAAGATGGCACAGTGACCGCAAAAGGGCAAGTCACACCAGTGGAATGGCCATGGATTTCTGTGGAGCAACTCAATGAGCAAGGAAAGACATACACATCTCAAACTGCTCACTAATGGAGGATCCAATTCCCAGGTGCTCTGACCCATTTGTTCCCCTGGGTGCAAGCAGACATAGCATTTGGTGTATTCGGTCTACCTCCTATTAAGTGAAAAGGAGAGTTTGAACCTTTTGTCAATCAGTTCTTCTTACAAAGTAGCAATTGCTAGACTGTACCCAGCTTTCATGTCCACTGCATAAAGAATAGTTAAGAAACCAGAGAGAACTGTCAGAGACATGACCAAGGTGTGTGCAGCCCAAATCTTCCGAGGCCTTCACCAAGACTGTCACAACTCCATTAAGCTGTGTTTGGAAAACAAAGCGATCATGCCAACTGAAAATTGTCCCTAATATTCTCCAGCAGTTCTAAACACTTCAGCTGTTTTTATCTCTACTGAAATGAAAGAGTCCCGAATGAAAATAAAACATAACAACCCCAAGCTTCAAGTACTGAAGGCTACCTTATTTCCAATTACTTTCTCATCCTAGTACAGTTTTCAACTACAAAGCACACTTGTCAGTGGCTTGTGTTGGTACAGCAGGTGGAGCTCATCCAGGAGACTGACTCCTCAACTTGCGGATGAAATGATGAAACAACCAAGAGTCAATTGGTCTGAGCTTCAATAAACGCCTCCTAGGTGTACTGTAAGAATCTCACATGTTTTAAAGAAAAATAGATAATAGAAGCTTGGCTGAAAACAGTTTGGTTAAAAGATGATCAAAACCAGCGTGCCAGAAACTTTGAAAAATAAATAAAATATTTTTCACTTCATTCTGTTCTTTTCCTGAAAGCCCTTCACCTGCCGTAACAACGCTTGCTGTTCCAAGAGTGAAACCACCAGTTTTCACTCCCCTTTCTATACCACCTGCTTTTACAAACCAACCTCAAGAGGACCCATTCCTGCCAAAGCCTCAGCCTACCTCCCTCTCACGTCTTACACCAGGGCCGGAATCTGCTGAAGAAAGTTCAATTTACTTCCAAACCAGCTCCATTCAGGAAACATTTTAGTACATGCTTAACAAGGAAGGGTGACTCCTTTTTTGGGAACACCTGGGCTCTTCCCCTGAGCAGAGCTTTAAACATCTCCTTTAATAGAGGGGTTTTGCATATACTAAGCTCACACCCACCAAGCGAAATGCAGCATGGCACAGAAATCACTGCACTGGCACTAACTCAAACTTCCGTGTTTAAACAGCGCAATTCAACACTGCACAGAGATCCTGACTCAGGCCCCAGAAATCAATACAGCTGTGTTCACGTTACTAGGCCTGCACCATTAGGCTTTCTGACTTTACAGCAAGGCTGTATTGCTTGGGTACAATGTTGCAGAAGTACACAGCTTTTTTTTCAGGGTCTATCAAATTGGTCGTAAGACCTAAGAGTTGTTCAGGAATCCTGCTAAGCTGAGCTTAGAGCCGCAACTGTTTGCTCCCCTTATTCCAGTACTGGAACTGTGCAGAACGAAGGTTCAGGGAGTTAAACCAGCTGAAAACTAACTCTACAGAACAAAACGGCTTTTCTGCCTGGGTCTCTGAATAGGTTTGCTGACAGATCAAATGCGTGCAAGTACTACACTACAAAAGAGAAGACAAAAACACGAGGCCTGGTGAGATGTGGAAGGGAGAATATGGGGAAGGGAAAAGGTGTCCCCCTTTGGGTGGCAGCCAGCAGCTCACCTCTATGACCAAAGCACAGTTTGAGATTTGTATCTACCCAAAGCCCACCAAGCATGTCCGACCACTCCCTTCTTAGCAGCCCAGATGTTCCCTCACTTTATCTTTAATACAAGGTTGCTAAACATCCCACAACACTAATGACAAACTTCCTTTTCCAACCTGAAGACATTTGCATATGCATTTTACTTATTTGGTGGGTAATTAAAACATGATCTGTATGTCAAACCACTCCTTGTCGACACATTACACGACAAATACAAGTCTGAAAGTGCTTATGCTACATACCCTTGCTCTAGAATAGGACATTGCTCACACTAACCTTTAAAGGACCAGGCGAGGGGCCGTCACTAGGCTCTTTTCAAAACGCTGCCCAGCCACTGCAGTTCTGGGTTCCAGGAATACCACCCTCACATTTCATCCCTGGCTGCAGAGAGATCTGTTTGGGGCACAAGACCCCATCTTGAATGATATTTAAGATGCTTGTCACACTCGTGTTGTGGACTGGTTAACATAGCACTTTTTCAAGGTTACAGAAAGTAGACTAAACTGGAGGCGGGGACAGAGAAGGACTCCCCTCGCCAAGCCTTCAAAATCAATCTGTGAAGCTTTAAACAACTGCAGAGCTTTCCTTGTAAATAAAAGATGTGTCTGTGGTAAGCACCAACTACAGGCTTTGTCTTTTATCATCTCACATGTCATTTAAAGAGCTGCAGAGATGGAAATTAGCCATGCTACAGATGAACCCAAGAACCTGAAACGCAGCTGAGAAAGCAGCCTTGCTAGGCACCACTCAGGTTAGACTCCTGTGTCTTAAAAAAAGCTATACAAGTGAGTTAACTCTTTCGCAACCAAGACGCAAAGGTTAGTGAGTCATTTCCCTATGCAAGTGATTTACACTACACAAATGGGTGTGTTTTGGCGTGTAGGAGGAGAGCAGCATGAATGAACTGGTGCCTCAGCCACAAAGACCTGCCTACGTGAAGCAGAGAGCTGCCTGCATGGACTCCTTTCTCCAGCTTCTGAAACTGAGCCACAGAACACTCCCCCGTGCAGCAAAATGCCCTGGGTATCACGTGCTGTTCAAACAAGCCTGCCTTAAAAGTTGCAGGCAAGAAATCAGAACCGCAGACTGGCTCCAAAGGGAATTCTTAAGAAGAACTATTATGCAGAATTGAAAATGCCGCTCAAATTACTTCTTCCTCCAGGATGAAAGAAATACTCCGCTAAAAAGGGCAACTGCTATTTAGAGTCTGTCCACTGCACTGTGCCCCATCATCTAAACACAGTCGTGATCGCAGCTGCCCTAAAAATAGGCAGAAATCCCACTGGAGGAAGTTGACACATCCTGAAGTGATAGACACGTGGAAGCCCCAGAGCGTGTGAAGGGATTATACAACTAAGCTGGTGACACAGAAAGATTTACAAACTGATGTCACAGAAAACCAAATAGATAGATGTAGCAGAGAAGCTGATTTTATCCATGTGGTTTAAGCCAGGTGTCCTTAAAAATTAGAATCTAAAAGACGAGAGCAGGTCTCTGGGGTCAGAACAATAGCATCACCTCTTTCTGGAGCATAGGCACAATATTCAAACATCTCAAACCCCATGTTCTCTCTGAACACAGGGGTCCTATCCCATCTCTTCTTAAACACTCCCTCCTCCTCTTCCTCCTCCACCCAAATCAGCATGACAAAGCATGCAAGTGCCAAGACACAGAGAAACATCTGCATTAGTGTTTTAGCTCAGATGAGTGTGCTTTGGAAAGAAATCTCCTAATTACCCCCATTTACTGTGCTCTGTTTCATCAGGGACTGATACCAGAGATTAATACCACGTGGATTCCTCTTCGATTAAACTGGAGAACAAGCTTGTGCGGTGCACCTTAACGCAAGAAGGCTGTAAACGGGTAGTAGGCTCCCGGACTACAGCTAGTCCAGGGCAAGAGGTCCCTGAGCCCCCACACTCAGCATGGGTCTGAGTCTGGGTCCCACCACCCACTGCTTCACCGTACAGAGCCGCTCCTGTTGGATGCGACACAACCAGGGCCAGAGAACTTGTGTACAAAGAGGAGTTTCACACCAACAACGGGTTTTGGCCATCCTCCATGAAGGAAGCCAGCTCAGTCACCTATTGCAAGCTTGGTGTATGTTTTCAGGGGGGCAAAGGGGTTTTCACACACGTAAAAGCGTATGAAAATGGAAGGACTTTCAGACATGCATCTTTACATTTAGAACCAAACATATTTGCTTCTGTTATGTACTACAGAATTATTTTATTACATTTAAATGGCCTCTTTTTTGTTTTGTTTTCCCAGAGGAAAAAACCTCTAGGGTAAACTAACATGCATTCTGACTTTTTTCTCTTCACCTGCCCACATTTCACTCAAATAACCAAAGCACCTGTTATGGATTTCCCTTTTATAAGCCATATTCCACAATGTCCAAAACTATGACTGAGCACTATTTTTCTGTCTAAATGTTGGCCCGATTAAATGGTCTCTCTTCCCTTGACCATCTAAAACACACTGAAAGATACAGGGGCTACATCACTACCAAAAATAAAACCCGAGGAACACATTAAACATACAGTTTGTGAATAAATGGTTCCAATCGGCAACACGAGATGCAAAATCACCCGTGAATACGCGCAACAGCAGGAAACAACGTCACAGTGTGACTTACTGACCACAGAAACGCTTTTCCTTAAAAACTGAAAACTAGTTTTCCTCAAAATGTC